GACCACTGATGAATGGCCATGAGTACCATCCAGAGAGAGCTGGGGAATGGCTCAGTCACAGCTTTGTAAGATGGTGAAAAAAGTGTCCTAAGAACCCCTCCTTGATTCAGACATTCAAAATGTCCATGAGATAAAATGGTCAAAAATACACTTAATATGACTACAAGCGACTTATGACAACAAAGAGACTCAAAGAACAAAACAAAACAAAACGCAGAGACACAAGTGGCCACAAAGAGACTCAGACATCAGATGTGCATTAGATAACCACCGAAAACCTACCAGACCAGAGCTTCTGATGGGCTATAAAATTGTTAGCAACACATCCACAGGGGGATGTAGCTCAGTGGTAGAGCGCATGCTTTGCATGTATGAGGTCCTGGGTTCAATCCCCAGCATCTCCAGAGTTTTTCTCGATGTCCAGGCCATCAAGCTTCCAGACGGGACTGCAGCGTACATTGATTCGGTTAATGAAAAGAACCAGCCTTTTGGGATTTTCCTCATCATCCCAGAAGGTTGATCATAGGTCAGTCTATACATCGCATGCATCAAGACGACCACATAAAGATTCCAAATCACCACAAAACCTTCAAAATAACCACTGACATCCTCAAAAGAGTGACCTCTATCTCTTGCATGTAGAAATTATGTGTTGGGTGGCCTCAGTCAGTGACATGATACAGTGAGGCAATTTTTCAGGGGTGAGGTTGTTCTTAGTGAAAAGTTGAGTGGAGAATCTGATTAAGGCTACGTCCACACTAATGCGTTTTTGTTTGAAAGCGCATCGTTTTCTCTCCGTTTGGCCTCCCTTTCAGACGAAAACGCCGTTTTCAAGTCCTTGAGAAAGTGGTTTCACCCTAAACCTCTGATGATGACCCACACCTTTTCCACACCTTGGCTCATGTGATGAGGCACATGATTAATAGTGGGTCAACGACCTCCTTAAGGGACAATCTCACTAGGGTTTAAATACCCAGGACTCTTCACCATTCTGTTTTAGAACTGAGAAAGCCTCTTGGATGAGAGGTGACGCATCTTTACAAAACTTCATGAAGTACAGTGGTTTTATTTTCCCCCAAGCTCCTTATACTACCATGATCTAGATGACTGACCTATGACCTACACTGATAGTGTCATGTAGCAACACTTAGGAAACACACACTTAAGGGGATGTAGCTCAGTGGTAGAGCGCAAGCTTTGCCTGTATGATGTCCTGGGTTCAATCCCCACCATGACCGCTTTTATACCATCAAGCTTCTGAACTTCAACGTATTGATGCGTTCTCAATCATCCAGGTAAGTAAATCTCTGAAAGATGACTCTGTTCATCTGGACGTAATGTTTTCAGTGGGACAAACGTTTTGTCACTCATCCAAGTGACCAGCCCACCGAAGGAACAATGGGCTGGGAGGTCATGGGTTTCAGTCATTATGCAAATTGTAAAAAAAAGTACTGCTGGTATTTACAATAAGAGTGCAATGACAAGACTCAGAGATCTGACCCTGTGGCATGTGTATTTCCACGAGTTTGTATTTGTGAAATGATTCGATTGCAAATGTTCCAATTGTCACAGACACTGTTGAGAGCGTTGGTGCAGTGACTCTAACAGCCACATCTCCTGATGTAAGACAGTATCAGCCAGTTGAAAGATATACTGTAAGAATATCTGCATCACATGTGACCTCTGAATCACCTTTATCTAAGTGTTCATTCCTGATAAAACGGTGATTGTAATAATAGATAATTATCTCACACCTCTGCATTTTTTTATTTCACAGGTGAGTGTGATCCTAACTCTCATGGTTCCCTATAACCTGATCGACGTCTCGGCTCCTCTCATGGAGATGTTTGCTGTGCATGGCTTCATGTGGGGGAAGTACACTGTGGCTGTGGGCTCTATAGCTGGACTCACCGTCTCTCTGCTTGGCTCCCTGTTTCCGATGCCCAGGGTCATCTATGCTATGGCACGGGACGGACTGCTGTTCAGGTGAGGAGGTACATGAAAACACACAGCCAGCTTAAGGAGTTTTAATAAGACATGTTTCTGTGTCTGTGTTTTAAGGTTTCTGTCTCACGTGACTGCACTCACACACACTCCCACGGTGGCGTGTGTGGTGTCGGGGAGCCTGGCGGCCGTCCTCGCTCTGCTGGTGAGCCTCAGGGACCTGATTGAGATGATGTCCATTGGCACCCTGCTGGCTTACACTCTGGTCAGCGTGTGCGTGCTGCTACTTCGCTATCAGCCTGACGAACAGACCGACACACATCAGTTTGAGTCTGAAGTTCAGGACATGGACGGCCTGAAGCACGAAGATGCCAAAGACGATCAGATCTTGAGCGAGAATGACGGGTCATCTTCTTACCACACCGGCAGGACGGAGGGGGAGGGAGATGACTCTGATTTTCATACAGGCCACCCCTCACTGCTGAAAAGGCTTCTGGGAGGTCATTACTACACCCTGCGGCTGCGTTTGGGAATGCCTGATGCGTCAGTTCGACCAACCCCAGCCACCGGCCGCATAGTGACCAGATGCACTCTCTCCCTCTTCTTCATGTCCTTCCTCCTCTGGTCTACCATCATATTTGGGGTTGAGCAGGGCACAGGTGCTGGGGCAGTGATTTCTGGACTGATGGCAACAATGATGGCAGGGTCATTAGCGAAGCTTTTGATTATGATCATACAGCAACCAGAGAGCACCAGGAGCCTGCCCTACATGGCTCCATGTGTCCCCTTTGTCCCTGCAGCAGCCATATTGGTCAACAGTTACCTCATGCTTAAACTGTCTCCACTCACCTGGGCAAGGTTCACCATCTGGTGCCTCATAGGTGAGCTGAAACAATCTTGATGATAGAGTGTTGTAGATTTGAAATGGAGCATTAATCAGTAATTCAATGACAATCAGTTTATTTAAATATCGAGTTATATATTAAAAGGAGAAAACACCAGTTCTGCAGTTGGCTGCTCGGTCAGATAGGTGAGAAAGCAGTCGTTTTGTTATCTGGTTGCTTGGTTGGCTGGTTAGTTGCATGACCTGTTGACTGACAGGTAAGTTGTTTGGTTGGCTGCTTGACTACTTGCTTGGTTTATTCGTTGCTTGGTTGGCTAGCTTTTTGATTCGCTGGTTGGGTACTTTGGTTGCTCTGATGCTTGGTACAAACGTTTTTAAGATGCAATAAGCCCGACAAAGGAGAGAGAAAATGCTTTACATGTGAGGTATCCAGGATTTTGTAAGAGCTTTGTAATTCTCTTCATATGGAATTCATAAAGGTTGACAATCTTACACAAACTGATCTCTGTACCTACTGACCCACCCTCTACTGCATATCCATCCTCAGGTCTGTTGATCTACATTTGTTATGGAGTGTGGCACAGCACGCTGGAGCTGAATGCTCGGGAGCAGCAGGCACATGCCAGTTCCTACCAGCGCTATGACGACCACTTGGATGACACCGTCTCCCCCGGTGACGACCTTTACACCCAGGAGCAGGACGAGAGACCGTATCAGGGGTGGTCTGCACCCGAAGAGAGAGGATACCACTACCAGCAGGGAAATCAACACGAGATCCAATACGAGGACCAAGAGAGCGGAGAGCAGGAGCAGAGCCAGTATGAAGATAATGGGGACCAGTGTGGATACCAGTCTGGAGCAGGAGGCCAGTATATGGAGACAGGCAGTAGGTCCAAGGGAAGGACCAATTATGGGTTTAATGATGAAGAGGAGAACTGAGTAATATGAAAGAGTGAATAAAACGTACGTATGAGGCAATATTTTAATGTTTGTGGAAGCTTTTATGAAAACTGGGATCAGATATCAGCAGAGGAAGGAGATGCAGAAGCTTCAAAACAGTCTAACCTGTTTGGGTCGAAAGCAACTGGACTTCTTTACTCCAGCTTCTGCAACCTTTTGGACGAGAAGTGAAATGTGTTTGAGAACTTAAAAGAAGTCCAGCTGCCTTTGAAGATCTACCTGTATGAGCACGAATGTACACAAACACCCACCTGCCTCTGACAACCTGACAGTGACAGCAACCGTTAATGAAACAAGTTGGACTTGTGTGAGAAGAAGTGTTGTTACAAAAACAACCTGCCTTAATCTTACTTTATTCTTTTTCTATTCTTTAGTGCTCAGCCGAGGTTCAAAAGAATCCAGACTGTGTAGACGCCCATCTGTTGTTTAAATCAAGACGAACTGAGCATGCTTGAGTGAGATGCTTATCTTTTTAAAGTTAATTTCCTGTTATTTTTAACAGGCACAAGCACCGATACTATATAAAGCATTTTTATTAGCACTACTCATGTGCTGCATGTCTTCAGGCTAACTTTTTAGACACCAAAAGGCTTATGACCTTAAGATCAGGACCTTTCCATAGTGACTAATCCCAACCATACGCAAACATGTTAATGACTAACCTCGTGTGATGATGGATCATCTTAGATGTTCTCTTAACTGAAGTTTGGTCTTTTTTTTAGCATCTTCTTCGAGCTGTATGAAAGCATTTTCTCTGCCAATCAGGCCAACATGAACTTTTACTGAGAACAGTTTAACCCTTATTGTCCATCTTCCCAGTGCTGATGTGTTTATATTAACCTAACCATAGCTTTGTAGACAGCCACCAGGTAGTACATCATCATGTCTCAATTAGTCCCAAAGAATTTGGACTAATTACCATACAGCATTTGCTCTGAACCAAACTCATATTAAATGTTTATACTTTTTGTGCCTAAAGGTCAATCAGGACACTTGCACGTGGTTCTTTGCAGACTCAGTATCACTGCTTCCTTTTGCACATTCAGGTCTTCGTTGTCTTCTTTTCTGCTTCCCATAGCCGTTCACACAAGTCTGTTCAGAGACAGTGAACAGCACACACTGGTTTAGCTTGTCCTCTGGTTTTGTTTGAGTTCTTTGTTTACGCTCTTTAATTGTTTTGGGGTGAATGGTGTTATTCAGTGTCTGTTGTGGAAAGTGCAGAAATAAAGAGAATTTGAAGCAGCAGTTTGTCTAATCGGGGTTTTATTGCAGCTTCTCTCACAGATAGAAGACGCTGAAGTGTTATCATTCCAAATTTAAAGGAGCTGTGTGAGCCGTCAATGGCAACTGCGGTAATTATTGTGTTCCTAGCATCAGCCAAAGGCTAGGATAAGTAGAGGTGAGTGGATCGATCCAAATATCCATAGTGTTAAGTGGTCATTGAAATGTGTTCAGAATTTGCAAATTAACAGTGAGTCATACAAACCTCTCTGCCCCACATAAGCTGCCTTTATAGGTCAATAGTATCAGTACTGGCTCTGTATTTACTTGGTATCGGATCAATACCAAACTTTACAGTATCACACAGCACTAGTGACGAGACAAAGCCTGTCGTGCTCTGATGTACGTAGTTTGCGGTTAATCTGTGCTAGCTTTGCCTCATTTTAGACAGAAGAGGCTAAACTCTGATGATCTGATACCTACTGTAGAAGAAGACAAACAAAAAATCGTATTTGAAATGGATTCATATCAAATGGAAAACATACAGAAATAATATTCAGTAAAACATAAATTTAAGAAAGCATGAATCTTAATTTAAATGTGTATGGGTGCTTTCAGAGAGCCCAAGAGATTTTAAAGCCTTTTTTCTAAACACAGACAAGAATTTAAGCATGTGGGTATGCAGATGATTTATTTTGATTATGCTGTTAACATAAAAGTAAAAAGAAATGATAAAAAAGTGGGGGATTAAATATGAGCTGCAATTTAAAAGTATCATAAACACTAAAGCGACCATGAAAACAACAGTTTGCTATTTATAATGTGAAAACAAAGAGCCGCTGACAACGATTAACTTGTCGTGCACAGATGGTCACAGCCGGTCAAACAGGGGGACTTTGCTTCCTGACTGAGTAGCTGAAGATGTGAAATATGTATTTATACATGTACAGCAAATGAAATTACAAACAGCTGCAAGCTTTCTGCTACGCTTCACCTCGGCTCATGGGAGTTCCTGAACTGGACGTCCGAACCATGTTCGTGTGGTTAAGTCTACTGACAGACCAATCACAGTCATGACCTCGGGGCTGGTCATGTGATTGGTTTAGAAACAGTGTATTTGAGTTTGTTTAGTTTTTTCCTGTAATGCCAGAGTTTGAAGTTGAGATTGTTTTGTGTAAATTGGATTTGTGTATTCCTGTTTAGACTGGTTGTTTGAGTTTTACTTTCCCACCTTTTGAATATGTCTTGATTGCTTTAACCTGTGTCGTGTTTACCAGCTTTTCTCAGTCTCCAGTTAGTCCTCAGTGTGGGTCTGCCCTGAGTGTTTGTCTTACGTTGTTGTGTTTTGATGCTACTTGTTTTGCTCGTCTTCCTGGCTTTCTACCCCGTTCTTGTTTTTTCCTTCAGCATAATAAAACTTTGTCTTTTTTTTTGTTGCTATTCTGAGTTTTGATCCTTTAGTCTCTCTAAAGACATCACTAAGACTTTTATCTCTAAAAGAATAACAAAATGCTAAAGTTGAGGCTTCAATACGTGGAGTCCAGGGCGGCGGAGGACTGGAGTAAGTTTGATGCAATTACTCATTTTGAAACAGATATTTTTTGGGACATACACAGATTCTCCAGACTTCCCTAGATTGAGGCCAAAAGATCTTCTGAGTGTGAGCTTATTATTAATCCCTCCATTTCCTGCCAACATTCGTTTTCATGGTGGATTTTAGTCTTGAAGCAGTAAACAGATAATGGCATGTCTCATTGATGGTGAATATGGCTTTAAAACTCAAAGAAAACTTGGTTAAAAATAGAGCGCCTGGTTGCTTCACACCCGGGCGCTCTTGGCGTGGTTGGCGGGGGGGTCGAGGAGCGTGGCCGTCCCCCTGTTCCCCGAGTAGTAGAAGCTGTCGTCCCTACTCGGGGTCCCGGGGTCGATGCCCTGGCAGCACAGGATGATGATGCCACCTAGGAGGCAGAGGGCGGAGCCGACCCAGCCGGAGTACAGAGAGAAGCCGAATGACATCAGATCTTCCTCTTTATTAGCGCCGATGGGGAACCAGACGGTAGATATGATGCTGCACACAGCTGGGTTTCAGACATATTTAAACACAAAAGGTGAAAAACAGGGAAAAGAAGAGGTTATAATTTTGTGCTCGGTGCCTCCATCTGTCTGGCTGTCATCCCTGAGTTTGTGGACAGGAACTACCTGTCTTATCTCACAGGAAGCAAAAGAGCCTGACAGATCCGGACCCATCATCCTCCTTCCTGCAACAGCTGGGAATGACTCGGGGAAGACCAGCGCTCTATACAACATGCCACATTCACCCAGTCACCGACTCTAAACTGAATGCAGTCTAACCAAATTCATACTGCGACAGATGCGTCGGAGAGTAACTTAGGGTTAGTATCTTGCCCCAGGATACTTGCCATGCAGACTGAAGGAGGCAGGGATTGAACCTCCGACCTCCCGATCAGTAAGTGACCAGCGCTACGTCCTGAGCTACAGCCACACAAAGCTCACTGCTGTAAGAGAAAGTCTCTTAAAACGAGAAACTGCCCTCAGAAATCAAATCTGTCCTCTGAAACTGTCCCAAAAAGGTTATTTGAACACACAAATACATCCCTCTAAAAATAAAACTAAAAAATATGTAACACATGTCCTCAACAACCTGCACACTCAGCACTGTGCACTCACAGTGTGCTGACCTCTACACTCTTATCTGAAATCAAAAACATAACAAATCAAATCTGCAGTCTGTCAAATCAAACTCATTCCTCAGATTTATCAATGGCACTGCTATTAAGGCAACATTTCATTAATAAGAGCTGGTTGAATTCTTTGAATACCAAAGAGAGCACCTTCATTGGGTCCTTTACTACCTCCTTATTCTGGATGTTGGTTCTCATCTATCCAGCTTTTATAAAACAAAATGGTCAGAACACATGAAACAAAGTGTCTGAGATTTGCATTTTTCAGTCATCAGCCACTCCTTTGAGTAATCAGATTCTCTGACAGTCTTTTCCCTGAATCTCCTCCACACGTTCCTTCATGATGTCAAGGAAAAGTGACGAGGAAAAGATGTTTTGGACTAATAAACTGCAAACACTGAAAGTCAGTGTAAGTGAAATGTCTCTTTATTTCACTGACAAAAGCTAAAACATTAAACTCAACTAGTGTTTTTGGTAAGTGTTAGTAAAGTAGTAGTTATAATCAAACTGATATAAACACAACTGTGTGTGTGTGTGTGCGTGCGCGTGCGCGTGTGTGTGCGCGTGCGTGCGTGCGGCCTCCTCACCCATGAAGATGAAGAGGACGCCTCCCACTCGGGCGCGGCGCTTCTTCACAGCTGAGGTGTCGTTCTGCAGCCGCACGCAGGCCATGGACATGAGGATCAGGAGCGTGGCGGGGAGACCCAGCAAACAGGCGCAGATCATCAGAGCACGAGCTGTCTGGACGTAGGCTGAGAGGCAGAGAGAGCATCTGTCTGGTTTAACGTTCTCAGCACAGCTCACCGCTGGCACTCAACAAGGCGCTGCTCACATTAGGAATGTGCACACGTGTTGCATGCACCGAAGACAAGAAGAAGATGCAAGAAAAAGCCTCTTTAGCCAGATTACTTTACTCAGAAAGTAATGTCTAATCTGACTCTTCATGTCTTCACTGAACACACAGAGAATAAATCCAACGTAATAAAACACTGGTGTTAATGACTTCTCCAAAGCTCATGAGAGACAAACCCCACTAGGTTTTAAACCCCTGGGACTCTCAGGCTTCTGGTTTAGAACTGAAGAGGCTACTTGCATGAGAGGTGACACGTAAAGAAGCCCAGTCATTTTCTGTCAAGCTGTTAAGATCTACAGAAATCTCAACAACTGTGCAAAGGACCACCAGAAGAAAGCTCAACCTTTGGCAGGCTTCTCTGTGTTGGCTGGGTCTGTTAACTGGAACCACCTGTCAGAGATGACTGGTATCAACTTTCTTTGTTAATCCAGGCTAAACGATGACTCGCCCAAAGTGCACATCTAGATAAAAATCAGTCAGCGGGGACAAGGAGGAGAAATAGTCTGTGGCCACCACCTGCTAAACCATTCTCATTTTGTGTTTGTTGTCTCTCCACCTGCTGCACTTTACTTTTGCACTAAGTGGGTGAGATGGATGCCCAGTGCTTTATGCTTCCTAACAACATAGATCAAAATCCCCCAAGTTTAACTGACTGTGTTATATTCTGACGGCCGAGTGTCGTCCTGTGTTTTTGAGTAGTGAACAAAAGGCTGATAAATTCCTTTAATTGTGTTATGCACTGTTTGGTAAACGTGCAGAAGGTTTGTTTGGTAGTAAACAAATTAAAAGCTCAAAAAGTGGAAAAATTGGCTTTTACATTGTTGTTTATAGTTTGATATGAAACGTGTGAAATTAATAGTCAGCATTTATAATACTGAGCACGAGAATAGAACTATACTCCTATAAACAGAGGACTGAGAAAACATTACTGAAATATGATGAACAATGTTTTACACCATAAAGCAGTTTAATTTAAAGAGTTTAAATAACCAGTTATCTTTGTTTCTTTAAATAAAGCTTATAAGTTACCATAGTTTCCACAAAGTGTTTGTTCTTCCCATCCTTCCTTTCACAATAAAAGTTATTGAGTACGAGCATAAATTGTGTGATTGCTGTATATCAAAGTGGTCTATAGAGGTGTGTCAAAGCAGTTTATGATCGATTATAGCTTCAAAATAAATATAAATATAAAAAATTAAATTCATATTAAAATGATATTTGACTGATGCTCTTATAAAAGGTAAGACTTATTTACAGCATCTTCACAATTTAAAAGCAAATTCTGTCTCTCCTCATTAAATAAACTCTGCTATAAAGTAAGTAAGTACCTAAATGTTCTGATGCTCAAACAAAAACAGCAAAGTTTCTCACAAACGCTGTGGAAAAACTGTATTTGTTCATTTTTATTTGTATTCTGATGAACGAGACTGTTCGATGAACATATTGAAGAAACTGTAAAAAGAAAAAATCTTGTTACGAATATATTTTGTTGGTGAACAACAATGCCGGTTTAAATACATGTGTCGATAACTTAATGTTAATAACGTGAAATAACCATTAATATTTAACTGTAATAAATCCAACTCTAAATATAAACTGTTTGGTGACACGCAGCCACTCGGCTCACACGCTGCCTCCCGCAGACCCACGCAGCAAACGTGAGCTAAACACACTTGAAAGATCTCGTCACGCACATCATGTATTAGAGCATTTATTGGCGCATCTCACCGGGCAGTGTGAGGATCTGGGTGAGGCCCACGCAGTGGTGAAGGGACGGGGAGATGACGCACTCTGCCCACAGGCCTCGGGAGCTCAGCTCGTCCATGCGGACGCAGGTGGCCTTGGTGTAGTCGCAGGTCCGGACCCAGTCGTTGGTGGCCGTGGCCACGATCACCCCCACCCAGCCCACTCCGCTGGCCGCGGTGCCAAGGAGTTGCCTGCGCATCTGTGACATGGTGAGCACCGTGCGCCCCAAAAAAGAAAGATAAAGAAATTCAGCCTGTTTTTAAATTCAGAAACGTGGCAGCTTCTTGAGAGCTTTCCTCTTTTTTTAACGTCTGCGGGAGTTTAAAAAGTTTAAAAATGAAAAATGTTATAGGCCAAAGACTCAAAAAGAGTTTAAAAGCGGATAAATGACCGTGTTATTGTCTAATAAGCAACAAAACACCGGAAAACAAAAACCACTGGAATAAAGCAAAAACTGATAGATATTCAGAAATTACTGCAGATAGTTTTTCTCTGACTTGGAGCTTTAAACAACGTCTAAAAAGCTTAAAAGTCTAAATTTAAAAGCAGTCCTGTTCCGTCAGTGCGCCTGAAGCTGATCCACGAGAAAAATGCCCAGAATAAGATTTATCACAGGGTGTGGTGGAAACCGTACTCCTCTCCAAAGCCAATGGGAGCACATGTGAGATCCTAACCTAAACCAGATACGGGGAGAAAGGCAGGCTCAGACAGAAAAACAAGCATCACCTAAAGCCTTCCTGATGAAGCTAAATCAGTTTAGCTCATAAAGTCCAGAGTTGTCCTCATGTGTCACTCACCTGCACCTCTGTTGCCCTCTGCTGGTGGTCCCGCCATCCCATCAGCAGCACTGCTGCCGAAATCTGCTCAGGTCCACTCAGTTTGGGACATCAGCAGAAATGTTCAGTGAATGAGACGTCTTAAAGTACAGCTTAAAGTATATGGAAGTTCTCAGGTGCTTTATTAAAAACATTACAAATATTAATATTAATATTTCAAATCTAAACAAAAAAGTTGTCGTTATTCACACCAGTTGATTAAAAATAAGGATTCACAACTAAATATTAGAAAAAAACCTTTTTTATTATCATTTTAAAAAAATCATTTGATGAAGGTGATTTTCAGCCTGGGTTTGCATTTCCTGGATGACAGGACGGTTTCCCAGTAAAGAATGAAATATATAAAATATATAAAATATATAAAATATATAAAATATATAAAATATTAAAGTTTCCAAACCTCAAAATCATTTAAAACCTTAACATCTGACTGAAAACGATTTCTGTGTTTGTTCTGTTCTCAGCCAACGCGGCGCCACCATCCTTCAGTAATGTTGAGGTCTGGACTCTGGGGAGGCCAATCCATGACTGATGGTTCCACTGTGTGTTTTTCTGTCCAATATAATACAGCACTTGATTGATCTCTATTACTATTGTTATTTATTTTATTTTACTTTAAGTTATTACAAATTGAGCAGAAAGAAAGACTCTGAGAGAATCTGTTGAATCAGCTGTTGAAAGAAGAAAGAAAACAAACAATAGAAGAGAATACAGAGATCAAAGCAACGACCTAGATACGTGGAAGTAACAGTAACTACTGAATACTGAATGCAACTGAGCAGCACACAAGACCGACAGCGCACGATATGCTTCAAGGTAGAAGCCGAGGAAGATATAGTTTGTGTCTGTGAGCATCCGTGTGCGTGAACGCGCCTGAGTTCAAAAGGTTTCTCCATGCAACGACCTGCTGGAGGCTGTGGGGAGCCATAGCCCCGCCCCCCAGAGCATGAAGCGCTAAAAATGCTTCTTGATAGTCGTCTCGTCTCTCAGATGTTGTCCATCTGCTGAGGATAGTTTTAGGACCGCTCTAAGCCTCAGTTAACCCCAGAGCCCTGCTTCTACACCTGCAGCAGCCAGGTTGTAGGCACTGGGGTAAACTGCACTACGGGGATCCCAGAACCTCTCAATCGCTCCACACCCCGACAAAGTGGGTCTGATAACCACTACACTGTGAAACTGTGCCAACTTTAACTTTAGCATTTTATGCATCCATGAAACCAGGAGGCGGCCCGACGTTTGCTCCTCAGTGGAACATCTGCTCCACGTGTCTGAAGTGTTTATGCACATTTTTTTAGAAAGCCTGCTTTCACTGGGCTAGTAAAAGCTGTTTTACTTGGGAATTAATTTAAAACAAGATAAATAAATCGTTTGATGATCAATTGTTCATTTATTAAATAATTTCAAGCAGGATACCATAAAAATGTGACGATTGAAGACACCAGCCTCTACCCTGATAGTGACTTTTTTAATACACAGACATGTCTTTGTCCAGAATATAGTGATATAAAACATTAAACTTTCATTAATCACTTACAAAGTCTACGCATTATTGTTTTTTCCTTTTACACACACGGGTTATGTTTAGCTACTGGATAGATTTGTTGCTGACGTCACGTTCTAAAAAAACTAAATAGACAAATTTTATATATTAAATGTTCAAAATCCTTCATCAAATAGCTTCAAATGTACACTCTCCCGCGGCATGTAAAATATACACAAAGTTACAAAACCCCCCCGTCTCCTGCTACAGTCGGAGGGCCCAAAACTGGTGAGACGTCTCATGGACTCGTCATGCTCCCGCACTCCTCTCCAGCTCCCATCTGCTAAGGCCACGCCTAGATTTATAATCTCATGGATTATAAATTCCCACAAATCTCTTTTTGTGACTTTGCTCTGTCATCCTTGGTGTCAGCTTTTGACTTCCGCCGACTTCTCTCGTTTCCTCGCGTCTTTATTGCCTTTTTTCCCTCTTCCTTTTTAAACGCTTTCTCTTTTCCTCACGTTGTTTCTCTTTTTCTTTGTCTCTCATTGGTTTTTCAGTGCGTTGATGTGAGCGCAGATCTTCAGAGCAGGTCCCAGTTTTATGTTCATGCTGGTCATCAGATGGTCCTCGGTGAGCAGCAGCAGAGCCTGGCCGTCGATCTCCTGCACCCGGAAAGCCTCCGCTACGTCACTGCAGCCTGAAACAGCAACGCGGAGAGTTTAAAAACACTGACGGTGTCTGACTGAGCAAATGATTCTGTTCAGTCACACAGAAAGTAGCCATGGCCCTGACTTTAGTCACGTATAACGATCTAAACTCTTGACTTTTAATAAAAACGCCTCCAAACTCCTGCAAAGTTTAGTCTGTGGGGATTGACTCTGTTTTGGAGCCTCGAGTGGACATTAGAGGAACTGCAGTTTTCCCCTTTCACTGTTGCTGCTGTCCTTCTGTCACAAGTCACTGCTCTGCTGTTTTTATATTAAGAGCTTTTGGTGTTTTCATTCATCAGTATTTTGGTGTACAATATTCTTATCACCCTCTTGATGAAGCACACCCCTGATGCACTCATGTCCACAGCTTCCTTGTTTATTGTCCATGCTGCGCTTCCATACGCGAGGGTAGCTGTAACAACGACATCTAGGACTAGGATTAGGTATTACATGGTACTGATGGTACTTTACTGTGTTCAAATCTTTTAAAGACACACTGCACACTGTGCTGAGATATGCTAATTTTGCCTAATATCACTTTGTTTGTGCAGAAAAGCTATTTAATGCATTCAAACGTGTCAACTTTGGGATTATTTTGTAGATTTAACTAAAGAAGTGGGAACACATGATGTGTTTGTATGACTTTTTGTGGCTGCTAATAAAAAAACGCATAAAGACACCATTTCAAGTTAGATTTTGGTGGCTTTCCTGTGAACACATTTTTTTAAAGGTTCATAAACTCAACAATTAAATGATTGGTTGGTGGATTTTAGGCCACATGATGAAATAATGTGACGCAGGTTCTGATAAGAACCTTCAGCAGCCTAAGTTCTACCTGAGCCCTTGTTTGGTTCCTCAAATCCTGATCGTGTGGGAGGAGTTTGCGGACAAACGACCCAACAAACAAAGATTTGGTTTGTTACAGTAACATGTTTCACACTGTTCATCCAGGATCATCAGCCAACAATCAGTTTATCCACTTTATTTCTAACAGAAACGAATCTGGAGAATGTTTCGACCAGAAGAGATCTGCATAACTCTAAGATCCACATCTGATCTTCTCTTAGAAATAAAGTGACAGTGATGAATATTAAAGGCAGCTAACAGTGTTTACTACAGAATCATCTGTCTCATGTGAAACAGGGGTTCAGTTTCTCTCCCAGATGTTTCACAGCAGTCTGACGGTGTGTGGTTGGAAGTATTCTTCACATTACTTCACTCAGCAGTTAATTTCAGCATTTTGCGAAACCTTTAATGGGACTTGGGGGATACGAAGAAGCTGTGAGCGATTAAGACACGGAGTGTGGCGTAAATCAAACCGACGGTTCTGACTTAAAGGTCCCGGGAGAAGCTCTACGTGTGGGGCATCGGCTCATGTTTACCTGGCAGCGTGTGGATGAAGGCAGTGACTTCCTCCACGCTCCACTGCGAGGGGGCTGGCTTAAACGTGGTGGTAGGCGTGGAAGTGGTCACGGCCGGAGCCGACGCCCTCCTCGCTCTCCGAGCCGCCCGACGCTCCATCCTAGCCGTCATGGCGACAGCGGGATCTTCCTCTCCTCCGTCATCGTCTTCCTCCTCCCTGCCTCCCACCATATCGTCTTCGTCTTCGTCCTCTTCTGCCGCCGCCGCTTTTTCTTTTCCATCTTTCTCACGCTGACCGGCGCTCCACAGATCACGAGGCTGAAAGGAAACAAAGCGTGTAAGAAATGTAAAAGCCAGGAAACGACCTGCCTGATATCAGCAGTTCAGGGGCTGCTGGGGTGATAGTGTGGGGCCCTGCAGCACCAACGCAGCATCATTTAAACCCCACACTCCACCTCAATCATCTCAAACTGGGTACTTGTATATGACTCCACAGTCACCAGCTCTCACTCCAGCAGAGAACACGTGGGATGTGGTGGAGCGATAAATATGTAGAAACTGTGTGATGCTATCATGTCGACATGGACGAACACCTCAGAGGAATCTGTGAGTTATAAGAAAGTTCTGGACTCAAACGCAGTTCCAACTGAGTACAAGGAAGGTGTCACTGAATAAAGTGGCTGCTTAGAACTTAAAACTGAGCGTCTGTTTTCTGTCTGTCGGTGGAGCTTCCTGATTTCTCGGCTCTCTGCTGCCCTCTAAAGGCCGTCGGATGTCACTGAACCACAGATGGCTTCAAAGGGCTCATTTCATAAGACCAAGTCTAAAATCCACTGCACACGACTAACTGAGTAGTTTTACACTACTAAGTATTTTTAATTCATGTGTTTGTTTCAGTGTTTTTTAGTTTTTCTGGGACAAAATTGAAAAAGTTTACAAAAGATATGAAGCTACAAACGCACAGTGGCGTTTTTGTAGGAACGTAACCCATCAAATAAACATCACAAAGATCAATAAAATTTGATATTTAATATTTGTTTAATATTTGGAAAATCAGCCTCCTGTGATACAGCCGGTGCATGTGTACGTTCACATTCGGCTGGTGGAGGACTTCAGGAGCTCTAACAGAGTGTGGCTCTTTAAAACATCTCAGCACTTCTCTGTTTGCTGTTTTTAAGCTGTTGGCGAGTTCAGCGTCCCTACCAGCCGCAGCAGCAGGGGTTTCCCAGGGACTGACTCCGCCCGGTTGAGGGCAGGACGAGGCTTCTCTGACCGGCTTCCTGCGCTGAGAGCTCGCAGACGCTTCGTCAGTCGAACGTTAAACCTGAGGAGGAAGGGGAGAAGCACAGAGACACGTGGTGATGTTTCCTCGTTCTGCTGCTTTCATTCACACTCGTATCTGCATCTGACACCTGCGCGCCTCCATGCAGGCCACACACACCACATCCTGTCACGCTGCTGCTGCGACTGCAGCACCCCTACGCTGTGTAAAGGTCCCGTGACATCACAGCTGCCCTCTTTAGCGCTTAAGCCAATGAAGCGAGGCCTTACCCGCGTGCACAGGAAGTGGAGCAGAAGCGTTTGGAGCGCATGAAGTTGTGTGCGTGGCCCCTCTTCCCGCAGAACTGGCAGTGCAGCACCGTTCGGTCTCTGTGGCCCGACCCTGTGAGAGGGACACAGTGGAGGTGAAGCTGAGAAACACAGAGTCTAACATGGTCCCACTGCTAGTTTAGAAGACTAACAGCTCCCACATTTACCACATCAGCAGCAGAGTGACAGACGTGAGCAGAGCAGGATTCGGGCATGTGTGGGGTAAACGTCAGGTTTACCGCCGAGTTTTCAGGGTATTAAAAGTGGTTGACTTCTTAGACGTCTCACACACACTTTCACTGCACAGTCCCAGGGCTGCTCTCAGCTTGTATTTAGTGTTTAGCCTGTTCATGTGTTGAATCAGCCCCAGTGCTGCAGGTGCAGAACATGACGGGACAGGTTTACAGTGGTGGGCAGAGGCTGTGCCACAATGCAGGAACTCCGGTTTGGTTCACTGTTAGAGCCTGCGGACCAATCGCTGCGTCAAGACAAGAAATAGAAGATCTCTCACCGTTTTTACAGAACAAGACTTGTTTGGTGTGCAGCCACGAGAAACCCTTTTTATATATTTTCTTTAAGCCTAATTGATTTTCCTTTAATATTAAACTTACTAATCTTATATAAAAACTGCAAGAATTATGTTTTTATTCTTGATTCAATCAGGTCTGCTCTCAGTTAAAGTCTCACAGCTGCAGGGGAAATGCGTCAGCTGCTTTGTTTTGAGTTTTCTGGGATGAATCTTTGCTGTTGATTTGGTGACAGTGTGAGGTGGGTGCGGCTGGTCTATCCTGCAGCTCTTACCAACAGCACTTTCATGCATCGAGACTTCAGAGCAGACAAACGGGCAGGTGTGAAGTTTAAAAGTTAAACTGCTCCTTACTGCTCCCAGGGTCGTCCGTGTCTCCTCCTTCCTCTTCGTCCGAGTCTGTGGAGTGCTCAGTTTGTTTTATCGTTTCCGTTACAGGCAGCGCCGCTTTCCCATTGGTCCCATTCACTTCCTGCGGTTTGGGCACCTGCTCTGGAACCAGCAGGGATGAGCGGTTCACCTGGACCACAGAAATAAGGTGAGTATAAATGCACCGCCTGTGGCTGAAAAGGTAATCGCAGTAAGGAGGGAATCCGTTTACATCCACCCAGAACTTGTTCTACGTTTATACACGAGAAAGGTTTCGAGTTTTTTCCCCTTTTAGTAACAAAATTGTAATATTTGCCGTCTCTAAGAAAGGGAAACCCAAGAAAAGGTGATAAACTGTAAAACCCAGATTGAACTGTCAGCTGAGCCACAATTTATTTAGGAAATGCTTAAATAAGCCTGAGGAGATTAAACACCAACTTATTTCACACTAAAAGCATCAAAACCTAAAATTCTAACTTCATTTTTTCTGCCTTTGTGATGTAAAACAAACGTCTCCTTACAGGAAACGGTTGGAGCCCCTCCTGGATGACAAATCCCTCCACCAGGTGGGTGAGAACCTGCCGTCCCTCAGGCCACGGCCTTAGCTCCCAGGGGCTGCTCAGTGATTGGCTGAAGCTCTCTGACTCGTCCTCCAATTGTCCGAGAGGCTCTGCCTCAGTTTCCGTGGGGGGCTGCTGCTCGCCACCTGCTTTGTCCACCTTCGCTGGCTCATGCTGCGGTAGGCTGAGGTCAGTCGGGAGGGCGGTGTGCGCCGGGAGGAGAGGAGGAGGGTTTTCTGCCGAAGGAGTGGTGATGGGTGAGGAGGGGGGAGACTGAGAGGAGAGGCTGGACAGCGCTGTGAGGAGCAGAGAAAGAAAAAAGGGTTGACTGAAAATTAAAAGGAACATGTTTTGAAAAAAGTATTGATTGCATGAAGTTACAGCCGAAAACAAAGCAGGACACTAAAGTTCACCAGTGAGCAGCAGGTAGCAGCGAGCCTTTACTGCACCACGGTTACTCCTGCAGACATCCCGTCAAGACAGTTTGCTCAACAGCTCAATTGCTTTGTAGCCTGAAGCATCAGAAGCTGCTGCTGGCTGCACACTGTGCACGACCATGTGTGCTTCTCCAGGACGAGCGGAGCAATAACAACTAATCATGTGGAGCCTTTAAGGGAGCACAGCTCGGACAGATGAAGCTGTGGAAAACGCTTTAATGCAAAGCCTCGTGTAAACACACAGATATGAGCACTAAGTGTTGCTGCGTCTGAGCTGTTCACGGTACCTGACTGATTGTCGGACTGGGTCGACATGTTCTCACAGAAGTCCTCCTGGCTGACGGGCTGAAGGTCTTTCTGAGGCTCTGGCAGCCTCTGACTCTGGGCAGAGGCTTCGGGGACTGGAGCTGGCTCTGGTACCGGGACTGGTGCTGGAGTTTGGACTGGAAGTGGAGTTGAAATGAGACCCGTGATGGGTTTTGAGTCCACAGTGGAGTCTTTAACAGGATCAGGCTCCGGGATAGGGTCCGTGTTGTGGTACTGATGGGGAAGCTGTGCCGTCTGGTTCTCAGACTGGTCCATTGGAGTCTCTCCTTCCTCTTCCTCCTCCATCTTCTTGTCCTTGCCTTCCTCTCTCCTCTCTCTCTCACTTTGGCCTTCTTCTGTCACTTCCATTTGATCTTCCTCTCGGCTAACTTCCTGCACCTCCTGGTTGATTTGCTCCTCACTGGGCTCCTCCTCCTTCACCTTCTCTCTTTGGTCATCTTTCTCCACTCTCAGGTCTTTAGCAATGCTTTCCTCATCTTTGACTTCCTGTCTCACAGCTGCAGCTCTCTTTCTCTGCTCTTCAGCCTCCTTTACCTCCACCTTCTGGGTCAGATTTTGCGGCTGGGGCTCAGCTTGACTCTGCGGAGAGGCTGGACTCAGAAGGGATGGAGGTGAGGGCAGAGGAGAGGTGGTTTTTGGCAACGAGGGGTTTAAAGGAGGAGGAGGAGGAAGGACGTCTTCAGTGCTCAAAGTCCTCTTTGATTGGGCGGAAACCTCAGGCGACTCTGCAGCTGGAGGCGGCGGCTGCACCGAAGCATGCGTGTACGTTCCCGGCTGTGGCTGGCGACCCGAAGAGAGGGCGATGATCTGAAGCTGCTTCGCTGCAGACAACGAGCGCTCAAAATGCGGCACAGCTGACAGAGCGCTGGAGACAGATACCGGGCTGTGAGTTAACGGACAGCTCTTCAGTCCCGCCAGCGGCCGGCTGATGGAAGACGCCTGGCTGGAGGGAGCAGCAGCGATTGGTTGGAGGGCCGAGGTCTGTCGAGGTGACGCCACTCTGTGACCGTTAGGAGAGTGAAGTCTGGGTCTCAGAGGGACGGCTCGAACCGGAGAATAGAGAGCTGTGGGAGACGAGCATGAAGAGGAAACCATTAAACTATGAGGGATATGACTAATAATGATCTGATACATGACAGACTGCCACTCGTGCATGTTGTTTAATTCTCATGTGCTTCACTGTAATCCGCTGATGCACAGCAGGCTGCAGGATTCAGGGTGTTGGCTGAAAAACTTTCTCACATTAAGATTTAAACATTTCCTTTCAGTGGCTCCAAAACTCTGAATTATTTAGATGATCAAATGCAAATTTTATTATGTTTTTGTTTTCTGATTTTCATCTCTCAAGGCTGCAAAATATATCAAGACCCATGATTCAATTTACTTTGTTCTGCAGCACAGTGCAGTTTTCTTCCAGTGATTTATGAGTTCAGCTGCAGACAATGACAGCAAACATGCTGAAAACTGACTTGTTGTGTTCTGTGAGGGTAAACCGAAGCTCTGACGTCTCCGGGTAATAGAGAGGAATTATTACTGAAATGAAACGGTACACAGGACCACAGCAGTGCAGCTAAAGACGGCTCTGAACAGCTAAAAGCAGTAAGTTTGTCCTTTCTTGTTTTAAAAGTAACCAAAATGAAAATAGTGAAAAAAGAAAAATATCTGTTTAAAAAATGTAATTCTTTAAAAACTGAAGGCAAAAAATGATTGAAAGTATAAAACGCTCATTTTGAAAGAATTTTTTTTAGTTTACTCACTGCTTGTAGAAAAAAACTAAACATGCAATCTCACACCACAAGTGTGATTGTTGCTAACACCAGACTGTGGCTTGCTGCCAGAACAGCTGCAGAGAGACGGCTTTAAACTGCAGGCTTTTATTTTGAAAGGTTCAGAGTGTTGATAACATCCAATATGTAATTTGAGGCTTTTATTTTGTGTCTTTTATCCTTTCTTCGCCTCAAACCCGTTGCAGCAGATGGCTGCCCGGTCCTGAGGTTTCTTCCTGATATGAGGGGTTTCCTTCCCACCAAGTGCTCGCCTACAGGGATTTGTCCCATTGCTCAGGCTTCTCTGTATTATTGTAGGGTCTCTACCTTACAATATAAAGGGCCTTGAAGCAACTGTTATCATTTTTAAAGCATACTGGTCTTCCACTGATGGCTTTTATTTTGAAACTCTGAACCACACCTCCCTCCAGTCCCCCCGGTTAGTCACTGTCAGGGTGAGAGCTGCATCCACCAATAAACTCAAACAGGATCAAATATCAATAAAACAAACCTGCAAACGCAGCATCAGCTGACTGAAAGTGCAGAATTATAATAATTTATGAGAATATATTCGTCTCTATGTAAGACCCTCACATGGAGGAGCGTACTCATCCGGCCTCATCACACCCTTCAGGGACCTACTTGGAGGCGGCACGGCGAGGTGTCGGCTGGGCGTGGTTGGACACTCCGTTGCTGTGATGCTGGACTGAGGTCGCGGCTTGAGAATCGGGAAGAGGGGGGCTTGAGGTCGAGAGAGGGGAGGCGGGGCCGTGGCGTTGGGCTTGAGGCGTAGGGAAGGAGGGATGGCGAGAGTCCCGGGGGGAGGAGGCCTCAAGGTGAGACTCTGGAGCTGGAAGGGACACAAAGATGTTCAGTTAGATCCCACCAAGGCATTGGCTATCCAGTCACAGCTTAGCAACTGTTACCAGCGAGAGCGGGTATGTTACAGGCAGCAGGAAAAAAGCTCTGTGAAGCAGATGTAGTCTTAAACGTCGGACATTTTCTGATTGTTCGTAAGGTGAAAATAAGAAATACAAAAACAGAAAAACAAGATCACATATTGATGTGGGTCTGAGGACCAACTGTGGAGAGATCGTCCACTGATCCTGATCCCAGTCACAGCCGTCTGTTACAGTCAACGTATGAGAGGAGTGTGTTTCACCCAGAAGGAATTATGGGTAGTAGTTGAGCCTGGCTATCGCTCATATACCAGACTTTGTTGAGCTGGCACGCATCCCACACGCTGACATAACCCTTTCATTTCTCCAGCGAACGATCAGAAAACAGATCAAACATCCAGGTCTCAGAGCCGGGACGCGCAGCAGATTCTGCTTTTAGATCGCAGCACTGGGTGTAAAAGGGACTCAGGGCAGGTTTTACCACAGCTTGAATGTGTTCTTCACGTGTGCGTCTTTTGTAGTTACGGAGACTAAACATGCTAAAAATGCCAAATTTGCATTTCATTAAATGACTGAAAGTTACTGAACAAAGCAGCTCTGTCTGAGGTCAGGTCGGAAGATTTCACAAATAGTTTATATAGTGTGACCGTCCAGGCTCTTTAAGACCCCTCCTTCCTACAATGGAGCTTTCTTGTGATTGGCCAGCCTCTGGCAGATTAGGGAGGGGCAGCAGCTTGCGCTTGCTCGCTGTGCTTGCTGAGCTTCGTGTGTTTCAGACGACTGTGTAAAGAAGTCAGCTTTTTGCATTTACCGTCTAAGGTCAGTTCAAAAGATGCATTCACGTGCATACAAAGACATTTGCTCGGCTGCTCACCTGAGCCGAGGCGGGGTTAGAGGAAGGAGGAGAAGTGGAAACAGAGGAGGAGGAAGAGGAGGAGCACGGCTGGGGCGGCCGCATAGCAGATGTAAGAATTAGCTGCAGGAGAAAAAGGAGGAAACAGGTGAAGGAGGAGATGAACAGAGGAGAGCAGGACAGCACAGATGTTTGTGTGAGACATAACTGAAGCATCTTCTTGGCCTTTGCTTCCTTTTAATGACCTAATAAAACACCCATAAACATAAAGGTTACTTTTTCAAACAGATCAACACCAGATTTGAACCCTCACACAAGAAAACTGTGAATTTTGCTGGGGACTATTTTCTGCGGTGGATTAATACAACTGCGAGGCATATGCTTCATATTCAGTGTTTTTCAATGTTAAACAGACTTTTTTACAACACATTTAAGTGTTTTAAATCATGGTGGCAGATCTAGATGAGATTAACCACGGTTTAATATTTCACCGTTAAAAGAACTTTTATGAACACATAAATAACCTTTAGTCTAAAATAGGTTTCTGTGCAAATAATCAAATGATGTCAATAATGACAATTTGATGGTTTTCACAGATGTGCAGTTTTGAGCTCATCAGTCACAATCAAGCCGCTTTGCTCTTTCTATACATGAACACTCATAATATCTGGGGACTGTTCTTTATTGAGAAACAGAGTTTACTTTGTTTCTGTCGCTCAGGCTCAGTCTGACTCTTCTTTAGCTGAGCACCACCGTCTGCCATCAGAGACATGATCAGAGCAGACACAAAGATTCAGTATGTGGAACACTGATGATGCAAATCAGACATGAAATCATTAAAGCTGTGAATTCATTTATCTTGTTGTTGACTTATCTCTCCCATGGCGGCTGCACAGCAGAGCTCTGAAACCTGGACCCCGTTTTCACTCTTGTTCTTAGTAACTGCAGTTGCAGCAGAGGATGCTCAGCTCAAGGAGGAAAACAGATATATTTGTATATTTCTGACCTGCAAATGTCAGTGACAATGAAACACAAACAAATGCATTGCTTAACTTAGTGATGGGAGTCAGGTACTAGCTACATGCATGCAGCTATACACAGTCAGCCAATCACAGGGCAGCGTCTCTATGCATGTAGGCATGTAGACACGGTCGAGACGACGTGATGAAGTTAAAGCTGAGCATGTGGAACAAAAGGTGATTTAAGTGACTCTGAATGTGGCGAGGTTGTTGGTGCCAGACGGGACGGTCGGAATATTTCAGGATCTGCTGGGATTTTCCCACCGAAAAAGAAAATATCCAGTGAGCAGCAGTTCTCTGGGCGAAACGTGCCTCGCTGAGGTCAGACGTCGGAGGAGAAAAGCTTCAAGAGATCAGTAACTCAAATAAGCACTGTGGCGAGGCGTGGTCTGCGATGCTGCTGCAGGTGAGATGGACGCACCTGCGCCGCACCTGCAATCACAGCTGTGCTGTTGTCATTAGTGGTTGTTGGTGGTGATGTGTACGGCTGGCAGCTGTTACAGCAACCGTGTGAATATTGTAAGCAGAAAGCATGCTGCAAAGCATGAAGATGCACCCGGGCCTGCTGTGGGTTTGTTACACACTGGTTACAGCCGTAGCAGAAGAGCATCTCTGAGCTAACAGCTAGTCCAACCTCAAACCACACGAGTGTCCTTTCTGTCAGCTACGAGAAGCCTGAGGCTACAGTCCACACAGGCTGCCCAAGACTGGACAACAGAAGCCTGGAAACATGTTTCCTGGTCTGATGAGTCGCGACTTCTGCAACATTAAGACTTCAGTGTCACCATTTGGCTTAAACAACATGAAGCTTCGTGTCAACTGTTCAAACTGCTGGTGGTGAAACAGCTTGGGCCTCTTAGGCCGTGGTGTTTAAATGATGCTACCTATTGTTGCTGAACATGTCCATCCTCTTATCGCTACACTCTATCCATCTTCCAAAGGTCACTTTCAGCAGGACAACGGGGCTCAACCTCGTACTAGCAACGTGTACCTCATGAAGTGGCCTCTGAGTGTATAATGTGTACTCTCTGCTGTAAATCAAAGATTTGGGGAAAATGTGGTGCTTCAAGATTGTTTTAAACGAAAACTTCAAACACATAATCTTCTCCCAAACAGGTAGTATGTACATCATCAGTTACCATGGTGATTTAGAGAGGTAAAGCACCTCTGTAACACTTAAAAGTCTGACTTTAAGCTCAACACGGCTGCCTTAACCTGGTAACGTTGCTTCATAGTCTGTGTTTTCAGACTGTTTCAGATCACGTCTCACAGGGTTTTTGGTGCAGTGCATTTAATATCATTTACATCACGTTTGTGTTTGTTTAGTATTCGGAGAAATTTCTGCTTTGAAAGCTTTGAAA